ATATATATATATATATATATATATATATATATATATATATATATATATATATATATATATATATATATATATATATATATATATATATATATATATATATATATATAATGGGCGGATCCGGGATCCGGGCGGCGGACTGTCTGGCGGAATTACGCCCCCACTGGCCGGCGGTATTACAAAGGTAGGGGTTCAAATTTCCGAAGGAATCTATCCGATGGGGATCGACGGTGGAACTACTCTAATCATAATCCCAAATTCTCAGTCGGTCGCTATGTCAAAGAATCACCTTTCTATAGATTTAAAGGGCTTTGGCCTTTAAACCATTCTTCACGCAGGAATTACAACGCACGCCATGGCAAACGAAAGCTTTCTCGAAGTTATTCCCAGCAGAGACATAGATGGCCGTTCAAATCACCTGAAACTAGGTATCTGGGAGCCTCCTATGTCTACAGTCGCCGACGAATTGTTAACAGCGGCAAGGATGGCTGTCTCTCCTCATCTCCTAGTAAAAACTGTAAGTTCAGGTTTCATACTCCATCAAGAGGATTTGAGCTTTTTTATTCTTTCTACAACCACAACATATGCATTCTTCAATGCGGGAGAAAGAAATACCCCATTTGGTTTGATTTGGATTCCTTTAGATGGATAATTGAATCTATTCCTAGGATTGCTGATTCAAAAACTCTGGGAGTGTGTAAGTTCGAATTGAACCGTAATGTTTTAATCAGTCATGAGTCAAGTGGGAGAGGAGATTTCATTCAAATTTCAGAGGATAGAAATGAAGGATTTAACTACATCTCTATTCCTTGTGATAAAGATGAGGGGACAAAGATCTTCTTAAGGGCTTTGGGTAATTTTCTGGGTAGGATTACTCTCTCCCAGTATGGGAAGGAAGAGAATAATCATTTTGCCTTTGATAACTCAGTCATAAAGGTGGATGTTGACCAGGGTCTAGTTGATTGTAATATTTCGGTCCAAGATGCTTCAGAGATTAGGATCACAGGTAACACTTCTACTTTGGTTTCTGAGGGTCAGATTGATATGGTTTTGAGGGGTGAGGACAGGTCTGATGTTCCTCAGGATGCAACGGATAAGCAGTTAGCTCTTTGTCATAGTCCTAACCAGGACGGTGAACACCAGCCTTCTTATTTAATTGAATACCCTTTGCTGCCAAGATCTAGGCTTTCTCCCTTAGCTGCTGAATTCATACCCACCATGCCCAATTCATTTGCTGCTCTTTTCAACCAGGGAGATTACACCACTATAGATTCTACAACAGAGGAAGATCTATTAGCACATATCAATGATAAAAATATGGCCCTTTGTAATAATGCCATTGAGGATTTTCTACCAGAAAGAGATGAGCCTATTTTGTACACCCATTCAGAGGGTGAAGATAATGTTTTTATTGATTATGCAATTAAACCCCTCCAAATTGACACCTCAAGATGCTCTAAGACACCACTTATTTTGGGAAGGGTGTTTAAAGGTAAGAAAACATTCTCCCCTTCTCAAATGGTGACTAGGAGTAAAGCACGACTTTTAGATGAAGGTAGAAAAAAGACCCCTATAGGTTGCCTGGAGGACCCCGATGAACCAACAGATACATTCGCTGCCGAGATCATAGAAGCCTTCAAGAAAACATGTCCTTCTCAGAAGGAGGTTCCTCCTAAAAAACAACAGCAACCACTGACTAGAAGCCAAAAAAAGAAAGCCAAAAAGAAGCTTAAACAAGCCAGGTCTGAAGATCAACTAGAAGATTTCTTTTAATCATCATTTTGACTTTGGTTTTTGTGACGAGATTTCGAGCTTGGCAGTTAACACGCCAAGCTATGGTGAGGTTTTCAAATGTGTTCTGTATGGCTTGGAAGAATTGAATCTGATTTCGTGGGTTCGCATTTGCAATCTGGAAAGAATTGTGTGAAGGTTTATAGGTCAAGCTAATTTGGTTTTGCTCTAGCCAAGATTTGCAGGTTTTTTTAATTAAGCTTGGGTTTGAAATTTGGTCATAGTTATCAAGCAATCTCTCTAGATATCTCTTATTCGTCATAGGCAGTTGATCTATTGGTTTCATTAGGCATCACTGAGCATTTTCATTGGGCATCAGTGTGCAGTGGATCTGGACTGACTTCAAAATGCAGGTTCTCTACTCTAAAATGGTTTGCTGTCGCACCTTTGTTTGCTTGCTTTTAGAATTCCTCACATGTGATATGGATTCCGGACAAGGTAAATAGGACAAGCAAGGTCTGATGAATATACAGCTCCCATCTTATTCACTACTGACACGCTTTGTGACTATTGTACTTGTTGTATTGGTACATTATTTTCCAGCTTTAGCATTTTGTAATTGGGCCTTTGTAGGGGTTCGGCCAGCCCCATCCTTTGTACCATGATTTCTTTTAATAAAACTTGTTTAATATATATATATATATATATATATATATATATATATATATATATATATGGGATTGACTCCAGTCAGATGACATCTTTCAATCAGATGACACTTTCGGTCAGATGACATGCATCAGAATGAGCACCACCTTAATTCAGAATGAACACTGCATTGAGCAGACTGTGAATGAGTACTAGGTTCTTTCACAATGAGTACTACGTTTATAATGAACAAATGTGTGAAAATCAACCCTACAATGTCTTAGAATGAACACTATGTGGATTCAAAATGAACTCTATGTTGTCGTCTCGCTGGCTATGAATGAACACTACATTGTGATGAACAGTTGTGTGAGAATGAATCCTGCGTTGTTTAAGAATGAGCACTATATTGATTCAGAATGAGCATTCGTTGTCATCTGACCGAAAGTGTCATCTGACCGAAACATGTCATCTAACTGGAGTCAATCCCTATATATATATATATATATATATATATATATATATATATATATAGACACACACACACAAACATATATATACACACACACATATATACAGGTGCGCAATTTAACCGAACCGATCGATTAACTGATACAATTTAACTGAACCGACCGCCATTTTAATTTTGGTTTCAATTTTCGGTTTAAATGTCTAAAATATTCGGTTATCGGTTTCGAGTTTTGGGTAACGTTAACCGAAACCGACCGAATAACCGAGCCCATAATATGTATATTAAATATATGTAAGCCCAAAACAAATCTTTTAAATTATAGCCCACTTAAAAAACCTAATTCTCATTTTTCCTGCCTGACCCAATCTATAAATCCCAAGTCCCAACCCCGTCTCCCCCAAATCGGCAAATCCCAGTTCCCAAATCGGCAATCACCGTCTCCTGCAATCACCATCTCCCGGTTCCGGGGTTCCCAAACAGACGCCTATCTCTCGGCAATCACCAGGTCTAGTCAATTTTTGGTAGGCCTTACTCTTTTTGTATACCCTATCAATTTTCTTTATCCAAACTTCGGCCTCAAGCTAAATCTTACGGAGTATCTTTACTATTATCATCGTCCTGGAACGACCTTTGCATTCCTTCGGCTCTGGCCTTCTCATCGGCGATTCACCCACCGTTCTTCCATATCCATCTCAGGTATTTAGTTTTATTTTTATTTTTTTCAATTTCACTCCTTCAACTTCCATCCTTGTCGAATATGCTCAAACCAAAAATCAAATCTTGTTTCCACTACACAGATTTCAAATATACTTTTAGATGCTATTATCATTAATGTATTTTCAGATCTGTGCTTAAAAAATTCGGAATCGGATATTTCACGCCATATACATTCTCTTTGGCGTACATTTTCGAGGATTGAGTATGAAACTCTATTCTATAGATCTTATATTCATGTTTCAGATGATGCTTTGTCATTGAGTTTTTTTTTATCCTTTCAAATTTTCAATTTTATGTACTTCGTACTTTTATAAGTGACAGACTGATTCAGCTGTATATATTTTAGTACTTCAGATTTTTACTGCATTTTTCTTTTCCATCTTCAATTTTTATTTCTTTAGATGCTTCAATTTTAGAAATACACTATGTAGTAATACTCTTTTCATTTTTATCCTTGTTTTAGTATACTTGATTGAGAGTGGAACTAAGAAGGATGATATTATTAGCAGATTAGGCTAGCAACAGTCGTGATGTTGAAGAAGGTGATTTAGAACAATATGATTATAGCCATTATTTTATGGTTTTGAAAGATCATCCCTAGAATAACCCATTGTATAGTGTTTTGCTGTGGCACTTGTGGGATAGTAGTACTATAACTTTTTCTCATCAATTTTTGGAACGTGAATCTGCTAGATGATGCTGATGTGAGTAGTTTAAGAACTCCTGTTCTATGTATGCATTATCTAGTTTTTTTATGGCTATTAAAATAATAGTCGTGAAAAGCGTGCCTGATGGCAACATACAAGAGGCATGCTCATAACTTAGAATCATCGCATTTTGCGATACAATTGGAGGCGCTATAGGGCGCACATCACGGATGAGCCCTTTTTTATTACTTTGTGTAATCTTTTGGCTTTATGATTAGGGTTGACTCACTTTTCTCAGTCACACTCTTCCACCTTTGTGTGCTTCGGCCTTGCTTCTTCCGCCTCTTCGACTTTGGCCTCAGTGTTGCGAGCCTTCCATGCGTCGGCTTTGCTTCTTCTTTCTATATTGACTGTACTTTGGCACTCTGCATCATCAGGGTAGTCGCTTCTCAGTTTTCTTTTTCATATTTTTAATCGCGAGGCTTCCATGTTATTTTTGCTTCTCCTGGCTGTTTTGTTTCTTCCCATAAATAGAAGGTTAGTCTCTTCTCAGGGTGTTCATATGTTTCTTTGGTCACTTTCGTTTTTTTAATCGTGAGACTTCCCTGCTTTTTTCATTCCCTAGCAGTCTCGTGTCTTCCCATTCATACTCTTTCATTATGGAAATGGAAGAAGCTATTTGTTTGTGAAATGCTATTTTTTTTTCCTGGCGGTTTTTGTTCTTTGAACTTTTGGTTTTTTCTTTGTCAATGGTAATATGTTTGACTTTGATTTTTGGTTGCTTTCTAAAATTTCATTATGTCTTTCAAAATTTTATATGATATGTTGCTAGTTTAGAGATGCTATGCTACTTGTGCCTCAATGGCTCAATTTCTTCCTCATGTTCGCGATGCGCGCTCATCAATGTCTCATTGTGCACCGAGTCTCTGGATCCTCTTCGTGCATCAGTGTGCATTAGGCCTTAAACAAGTATGGTTAAAATGTTGGGTTTTGAATATTTCAAGTTCTTTTTTTGTAAAGAGCATAAATTTGGACATAATGACAATGACTTTCATGCAAAAATTTTTACTATATTCCATCTTAACATTAAGAGGACTGAATACCATGCTCTGAGATTAGAAATCTAAGACAATATCTTCCTGGCTCTCTTAGTTTGACTGATTTGATTGGTTTGGTTTTATACTTTTGCTTAATGTTCAACTTCTAATATAGACTAAGGGGATATCTTTTGAACACGCTTGTTGAATGTTCTAACAATATTGATTTCCCAAAGTGTGTTCCTAATATTAACTGCAGAACTGATAATTAATCTGGAAGTTTTGACTACCATGGCTTCGTCATATCTCCCTGCGACAACAGAGTCACTCATTCAGGCTTCTGAGGCAAAAAATCCATCTGAGTCCCTCTCTATCCTTTATGGCATCCTCAACAACCCGTCATCATCCTCTGATTCTTTAAGGATAAAGGAACAGGCCATCTCCAACCTTTCTGACATGCTAAGGCGAGAGAACAGGCCTGATGATCTCAGAAACCTTCTCACCCAACTGCGACCCTTCTTCTCTTTGATACCCAAAGCAAAAACCGCCAAAATTGTCCGCAGCATTGTTGATGCATTGGCGAAAATACCCGGCACATCTGAAATTCAAATCGCTCTTTGCAAAGACATAGTCCAGTGGACCCGTGATGAGAAGCGAACCTATCTTCGCCACAGAATTGAGGCTAAACTTGCTTCATTGTTGATGGAAAGCAAAGAGTATGCCGAAGCATTGTCTCTCCTTTCTGGCCTTATCAAAGAGGTGAGAAGATTGGATGACAAGCTTTTGCTTGTGGAGATTGACTTGCTGGAAAGCAAGCTTCATTTTGCATTGAGAAACATTGCCAAAGCAAAGGCTGCCCTGACCGCTTCCCGAACCGTGGCAAATGCCATATATGTGCCTCCCGGTCAGCAGGGCTGCATAGATCTGCAAAGTGGTATCCTCCACGCGGAAGAGAAAGACTACAAAACATCTTACAGCTATTTCTACGAAGCGTTTGAAGCTTTTAATGCTCTTGAGGACCCACAGGCGATATATAGCCTCAAATATATGTTGCTTTCCAAGATCATGGTTGGCCAAGCTGATGATGTGACGAGCATAATATCATCACCCAAGGTTGGGTTGCAGTACCAAGGGCCTGAACTGGATGCCATGAAAGCAGTGGCTGATGCTCACTCAAAACGGTCTTTGAAGCTGTTTGAGATTGCGCTTCGCGATTTCAAGACACAGCTGGATGAAGACCCAATTGTCCAACGGCACCTGTCGTCCCTCTACGACACACTGCTGGAGCAAAACCTCTGCAGGCTGATTGAGCCGTTCTCAAAAGTTGAGATTGCCCATGTGGCCGAATTGATCGAGTTGCCAGAGGAACACGTTGAGAAGAAGCTGTCTCAGATGATTTTGGACAAGAAGTTTGCCGGAACCCTTGACCAGGGCGCCGGATGCCTCGTCATATTTGATGATCCCAAGGCAGATGCCATATATCCAGCTACGTTGGAGACCATCTCAAACATGGGGAAGGTTGTTGACAGTCTTTTCCTAAGGTCTGCCAAGATAATGGCCTGATTCTTGATTGCAGGCAGCATCTCAGGATTTCAGTCTTATCCTTGCCAAAATGTTCGTCTTCCCTTTTTTTTATCCATTCCAAAAAATTGTCTCTTTCAATTAAAATAACATGCCTATGCTAGACAAAGACAATGTGGTCGAGCACCATCCTTGTGACTCTATCAAATTGAAGGTTACGGGTTTGAATCCCGGCGAGGGTGTTGACTTTCTTATGCTTAAAACCAATAGGTTTAGAAAGTATTTTTTCTCTTCAACAAAAATATTTCCACTTTTTATTAAAAAACCACTTTTACCCTTACTCTGTTTTAACCTACCTATCACATTATACTTTTTCTTTAATAATCTATTCATCACATTTTATTTTTACACATCACATCAAAAACAAAATTAGAAGTCAACTATAATTTAATACTTCCTTATTTTGGCACTTGGTTAAAATGAGAAGTGTCTTCAAAAATGGAGGGAGGAGTCAAGAGATTTTTGGAATTTGGACGGTATATTACTAGAAAAAAATACATTGAATTTTCGTATAAATGAAATATCAATAGTTTTATTTTGAAACATACTTTGAAATATTTTATTTTTAAAATATATATTTATATAAAAAGAGATATAAATAATCTAAGTGTTGCATTAGATATTGTAAAAAGTCAAACGAGAAATTAAATTTGAAGATCGGAAGGAGTACTAAGGTATACCAAAACTCTCATTGAAAGTATAGAGAATTCTTCTAAGTTATCACCATTATCTATCTCACCAAAATATGGCATTAAAGAATTACCCGGAGCTCACACCATTAAATGGAGAGCTCTCATTATATATATAGCGCGCCAAGGATTACCGCCTCATTTTAACTGCCTCAAACTCCTCAGCCAGCAACTTTGTCCATGGCGGCTATCTCTTTCTGCGGCCATAATCAGTAAGAAGAACAAGTCAAAGTTTGACTCCTCAAACTTCCATTTGCAATTATCACATTTTTAATAATACTCCCTCCGTCTGAATAAAGGAACCAAACTTTGGGTGTACTCATGGATACCAAAGGAGTGATCACCAAGTCCAGGAACTTGAATCCTTCTAACCTGTTGGCTTGTAAGATTGTATGAGACAAGTTGAGATTCATCATGTGTCTTTCATGAACTTGATCATGCCCGACACCAGTGCGTGTTCCCAGAACATGATCATGTCCCCAGAGCAATGCGAAAGAATCAAAGTGAGGTTGGGGTCCAATCCTCAACTTTCTAGTCCAACCTAACTACTCTCCACCCCATATTCAGTCATTACCCAGACATCAAACATGAAATGCTTTCTCCTATATCTTGAGAAACCAAAGCAAGTGTATCATCATCAACCACAAAAAACATCGCCTAGACCGAAGTGAAAGCCAGTGGGAGGGCCTCGCATCGTCCCCATCATCTATCTCTGTACTAAAATCAAAGAAGGCAATGACACTGAAAGTACCGATTATAACCCTCATCCTCCTCATCCACGCCGAGCCAATGGTACCTGCCATTCAATACAGTCCTAGTGTTTGGGTAATGAACTAAGTAAACTATAAGACCTTGTTCGCGCAAAGGGAGTTCGATTTCCGTTCCATCATCGTCAACAGCAGGTTCTTCTTCTTGTTGTGATTTCCTGGAGATCAGGCAGGCACTGTTTCCCGGAGTGAAGTCTTCTTCTTTGGTTTTAGTACAATCAGTGGATTGTTCGAGAATGATCATATGGGTGCGACAATTGCGGGAGATTGATTTCGAGATCTGGAGATGTTTTTCAATGAAATCAGGGCTGGTGATCTGGTCGTACCAAAATCTGGAAACGCATTTGAATCGAAGGAGGGATTTGACGGGAAGCCGGAGCATCACCTCCCTCGTCATGTCTTCCCCAAATTCTCTGATGCTGCTCGACAACGCCATGTTTGCTGACTGATACGAGATTGAGAGATGTGTTCCAGTGGGAACAGAGTCCAGGGTTTCATCGCATATACTCTCTCCTTCACAAATTGCTCTTTAGGAAATCATTTTATTTATAAATTGGTATATCGATCAATAAAATATAAAAATTGTATATTAAAAAACTATGTAAAAAGTTTTACAAAACAAGAGTTGACAAGAATATTTTATTTTATCAAATACTTAATGAAATCACGTAAACAAACAAAAGTTATCGAAAGAAGAGAAAAAAAATTGTAATCTATTTAGGGACGAAGGGAGTATAATTGTTTGTAGAATGATTATAAATAGGGGTGGACACGGTACGGTTCCGGGACGGTTCCAGTTCCGGAACCGCCGGTTCCGGTACCGCCACCCCTTGGTACCGGTACCGGTACCGGACCGGCGGTTCCGGTACGGACCGGCCGGTTTCGGCCACCTCCAATTTTCTTTTTTTTTTTTGCTTTTTTATTAAAATTTTAAAGTGTAAAATTGTAAATGTGCAATTGTTAAAGGAAAGGATGAAATAAAAAATATAAAAATGAAATTGATAAAAGAAAGAATGAAATAAAAAATAAAAATAAAAAAAAATTAATAACGGTACCGGAACCGGAACCGGAACCGACAGTGCCGGTATCGAAAAATGGGTACCGGAACCGGTACCGCCCACTCCGGTACCGGTACCGGTTCTCGGAACCGGTGGAACGTCCCGTCCGGCGGTGACGGTGGCGGGTACCGGCGGTACCGTTGCCGGTCACGGTACCGTGTCCACCCCTAATTATAAATCCTCCTAATTCTAATTTTAATTTTGGAATATTGTAATTACTTTTATTTCTAGGGGTTCTAGTGACACCCATTTTTGATGACACTAGCAGTGGCAATACCATTTTGGAGCATTTTGATGTTCCGTTCGTAAAATTGACACTTTATACCCCTCTAACTCACCCCCTAAACTCCCACCCTACCCCCGCTCCAATCCCGCCGTAAGCCCCCCCACACACACGCACACACAAAATGTCCACAAAATTTGTGGCTATTATGCATTAGGATGACTTATGGCGGGGTTGGGGTGGGGGTACAGGGGCAGGAGTCGGGTGGGGGTTCATGGAGTGGGTTAGGAGGTAGGAATTGTCAATTTTATGAACAGAGTAGTAAGTGTGCGCCAAAATGACAGTATCACCGGAGTGTCACCGTATTCCAGTATCACTAGAACCCAGCGCTATTTCTATTGTACTCTCGAGTATTTTTAGCCAACAACAATCTTTTTTTAAGTAGTCACCCAAAATATTTTTTTCATTTAAGCTTTTTTAGATTTTAATTCACAAAAGCCACATCACGAAAGTTGTCTTCTACAAAAAGTACAATTTCCATATTTAAAACTAGAGTGAATTCTCAAAAGAGTTTAGTGTTAATTACTTCGCAATAAGTTACAATTACATGCCCTAAATGATCATTGCCAAAAATATTAATTAAATATTAGTCAAATAGAATGTATTTTGGTATTTTTTATCATCTAAAATTAAGGTATATTATCGAAATACTCTTTTATAATTAAATATTTTTTTAAACTTATAATTTCTAAATAAACGTTTTTTTTGAAATGAAGTTCATGAACCTACTCAGGGTCTCTCTGTTCCTCTTAGCAACCACCCATTTAATTTGAAAAGACTACTTTGAAAACTTATTCAAAGTTTAGATGATAGATTATACAAACAATATCATTCATTTAACTTTCATTTAATACACATTTTTTACATTAGATAATTTAGAAAATACATCTGAATGACAAAAGCCCATAATGATAATTATTATTTATTAAAGACTAATTTGAGAAAATATCTTATTAGAAAGAACAGTTTGAGAAATTTACTCTAAAAGCTATGTTAAAATTTCTACCAAGTAAACTGTAACAAAGATACGGAGTATTTTATTTTATCAAATTGGTCATGAAGAAATATACGTAAACAAAGATTATTGAAAACCAGAAATAGTAATTATGCCAATAAATTTAGGATGGACAGAGTATAATGCATGGCTAATATTAATATTAAAAAATTAGATGAATTAAAAATGAATGTGAAACACATAATTAAATATGGCACTAAATACAAAATAAGGAAATAGTGAAAAAGTAAAAAGAGAACAAAAATAATTACTCCTTCCGTCCCTAAATATTTGTCACATTTGTATTCCTCAGGAAAAATATTAAATTTTTTTAATTTATTTTATTTATATATTGGTATAGAAATAAAAAATAAAATTTACATATCAAAAAACTACATGAAAAGTTATTCGAAATAAGAAGTGCAAGAATATTTTATTTTATCAAATAACCACTGAAAACGTAGAAATAAACAAAGGTTCTCATGACTACTAATATTTTGGGAGTATATGAGAAATTGTAATAAATTTAATAGAAATACATTTTCACTAGTCTCTAATACAATTTGAAGCAAGACAAATTCTTTTGTTACCATTGAGTCCACTCTTGTAAGACATAAAAAAAACCACCTATAGCACATTATATATAACTACTACGACCCTATTTTTAGTTGAAATCCGCTAGTAGCTATGGGCTCCCCCTTCCTCCGCCCTGAACAAAGGAACCAGACTTTGGGTGTACTCGTGGATACCAAACCAGAAACTGCGTCTAGGAACTTGAATCTTTCTAACCTGTTGGCTTGTCATATTGTATGAGACAAGTTCAGTTTCAGGTCGTTTACAGTCTTGATCATGCCAGACACATTGAGTTCTACGTGTTGCAAGAACATGATCATGTCCCCACATCGAAAAGAAACAATGAATGTGGGGATGAGGTCCAATCGTAAAATTCTTAGTCCAACTACTCTCCACGCCATATTCAGTCATCACCCAAACATGAAACTGGAAACGCTTTTCGGCATCGCGATCGCGAACAACCAAAGCAAGTTTATCATGAGCCACAACGACATCACCTCTATACAAGTCAGAGCCAGTGGGAGGGCTCGGCATCGTCCCCATCATCTCTGTACTAAAATCAAAGAAGACAATGACCCAGCAGGCATTAGTAGAACTAGAACCCTTAAACCAATTGATGCTCAGCCAATGGTGCCTGCCATTCAATGAAGTCCTGGTCTTTAGGCAATTGGGGGGATGAAAAAGAGCGGGGACTCTTGAACCACACTGTGGTGTTCTCCTCCATGTATCATCATCAGTGCTAAGATTGTACACCTTAATCAGACACGGCCAAGTAATACCGCTACAACCATTTAATCGAACAACCTTGTAATGCTTTGTGATGGGATCCATCCCTAATCCTAAGGTTGGATTAATTTCCCCATCTAATTCATCATCCCGAGGCAGAACCCTCACTTCTCTTGTTGCAGGGTTCCACAATAGACACCTCTTTTGACGATGGGTACCACGGGGGTCATTTGGAAAGCGTCCCACCAGACAGAAAATCCCATCACATTGGCCGTGAACTGAGGAAACTGTAAAACCCTCTTCGCGCAAAGGGAGCTCGATTTCCATGGCATCATCAACGGCAGGTTCTTCTTGTTGCGATTTCCTGGAAATCAGGCAGGCGCCCGTTCCCGGAGTTCCGGAGCAGTGCTCTCGGAAGATCATATGGGTGCGGGAATTGCCGGAGATTGATTTGGAGAGCTGGAGATGTTCTGCAATGAAATCTGGGCTGCTGATCTGGGCGTGCCAAGATCTGGAGACGCATTTGAATCGGATGAGTGACTTCACGGGAAGCCGGAGCATCACCTCCCTCATCAGATCCTCCCCAAATGCACTGCTGCCGCTGCTCGACAACGCCATGTTTGCTGATAAGGAGAAGAGATTGATAGACACGACTTCCAGCGGCGACAGAGTCCAGGGTTTTATTATGATTTCAAATCCCTCCTAATTCTAATTTTAATCGGACTATTGTAAGTACCTTTATTAGTTAGGTTTGTTCGGGACTATTTCTTCTTCTTCTTTTTTTTTAGCACATTTCTTTTTGAAAAAAAATATACGGAGTACTCCCTATACTTAATTCGTTCAAATTTTGAATGAGCTCACTACACCATGTTTAAAATCTCGTGTTTTCCTTTCAAAAAAAATCTCGTGTTTTTAAAACTTTTTTTTAAAAAAAATTTGTATTGAAATTTAAAATACAAATCATATAGTTAAAAATTATGTCAAAATCTTTATAAAAAGGGGATGTCAAAAAAAATTTATTTTGTCGAATAATCAATTAAAATACATAAGATAACAAAAACAATATTTCCTCTGTCCGGAAATATTCTTTCCATTTGACGTTTCTTGGTCAATATTTATAAACTTTGACTATGAAATGTAGAAAAAATACAATGTATTACGATATAACTTTAATATGAATATATTCATTTTGAAATATAGTTTTCAACTAATAAGGATGAACTATGATAATGATTTGAGACTTACAAATTTATCTGATTATTTTTATGTGATATTGTTAATGTTGTACTTGTGTGCGTGATATTGTATGAAATTATGAGCTAGTGAGTTCATCTAATATAAATGCGTAGTCGAACGTTTTATATTTTTTTTCCTTAGCAGCAATGTTGAGCATGTGTCATTTGCTCTTTTGCTATACGTAGGTAATAAGAATGATGATTAAAGAAACTAGCTTGGAGGATAGTGATGATAAGGAGATGGATGTATGTTGGTTGAATGAGTTTATTTAATTTAGTAATGCATTTGCATTATATTCATTATGTTTTTTTAGGGAAAGAATCCAAAGTTGTGTTTTCGATTAAGTATTTAGGCTTTCACACCATTTACTCCGATGTGTGTTTTAAATAATGTTTTGAATTAAATATTTTAAATCATTTTAAAATTTATTGTGTTTGGATGTCAATTCAATGACAACCCGATTCATGGGTCCATGTATTCGGGTTATGCAGTTTGGGTGTTACAATCCCAACATATTTAGATCACACAAGCTCAATGCTAAAGGGTCAAATTTTTGATCTCAAGTCTCCCATTAATCTTAGGCAAACAAATTTCCTTCTAACTAGATGGTTGTATTTTACATCTTGCCCTATATATAGTTAAACTATTTCGAGCAGAAACTAGTTTCAATTGTAAAACTTTACAACTCTGGGTAGATGAATTTGATTTTATTTATTAACCTAACCATGTACCTTGAAGTTGTTCATATTTTCACCTTATTTAGTTAAGTCTAATCGAGGTTCCACTCAATATCCTTTATTTTGGATTTCGCAGTTTACCTATGTCGATCAGGCATCGTGTTTTGGCATATCCGTTGAATGGTCGAAATTGGTAACAACGAGTGAGCATGCGCCGAAAGACACAAACTTAATGTTAAGAGGAATTTAAACATGGTCTCACCTATGATATGTGTTGCATGCGCACATATTCTAACGAATAACATTCAAACATTCATTCAAACGTACATACAAACATACATAATGAATAAATAAAATGTGATGTAGTTGTTGCTCCTAAAGAAAACTAGCTATAATAATGCATTCATCACTTGAGATCTCTATCTCCACCTCATCATCTTTTTCGTAAGGAATCTTCAAGCCTTCAACTCCAGCTCTTTTTACATAGATCTTCATTAACTTCTTGTTTTTTACGTACTCAGAAAATTTCAAGAGAAAAGAATTTATACGTTGTAGGCAAGAGCTATGAAGTTGAAGACGAGAATTACATCCAGAATATAGAGACAAGGCACAACATGTAGCTCGTATTAAAAAACTTTAATACACAGCCAAAATCATACACTATCCATCACATGCATACATAAACATACATTAGGCAAGACGCGTTTGCCTCAAACCTAGTTCATTCTATAATAAAAAATAAGCTACGAGCATAGTAATTATCAAAGAGTAATGCTTGAGTCACAAATAAACAGTTCACAAAATTCACAAACTTGCTTTTTTTTTACATTTTCCTAGAAATGAAATGCATTCAAATAATAAAAGATATTTTAATTTAAAATCCACAAAAAACAAATTTGTGAAGTTTGTGAACTATTGGTTTGTTACTCTAGCATTTTCGATTATCAAATCATTTAGTTAAGCTTATGTTAAAAACCCCATAAAATTCAAAATAACATTTTGAATTTTCCTAAAAGACAATGAAATAAAATTATGGCAGTTTCTTATATTTAATTAAATTACTTTTACACTTATATACATTATAATTCTAATTAATTCAAGTTTAAAATTTATTTAATTTGACTCAAAAAATCAAATTGAACATATAATTACTCCCTCCGTCTCTAAATAAACTTCCCCTTTCGTTTTTTCTTTGTCCCCAAATAAACTTCTTTTTTCCTTATGTAATCTACATATCACATCTTACTTTTATACATACATCAATGGTATATTTGGAAAGTCAACACAAAAATATGTCTCCCTTAAATTTTCAAAAAGTCAAAAAGGAAAATTTATTTAGGGATGGAGGGAGTATATCACATCAAATTTGTAATGAATGATATACTCCAAAATACTCCGTATATTCACATTGATGTAGGCATTGTGTGGGGATAGTCATTCTCAAGGCTAGAGGGGCCATAAATCCCCATAATAGATTAGTTAACAAATGCGCATCAGAATAATCAAAAGAAGAAAACAATAAAAAAACAATGTTGCAACAACTAGTTAATCCTGCTCCTGCTAATTAAGATTAATCGTCGAAAACTAAAAAAACGTGAACCAATAAGGAAAGAAAACCCGTCTTCTTCTACAAATAAATTTCAATCTCAAAACCTCTGGATTTTATCGGGCTTGATCACAGGATTGGCCATGGCAATAGCATTCCGGCCTTTGCTCTTGAAATCGAAGGTGCAGTCATGCGTCTCGGGGTACCTGTGGGTCCCACAGAAGGTATAACCGCACCGGCAATCGAACCCCACCACCCCCACCTTCCTCTGACAGCTCCGACACCTGTTCTTCTTCGCCGTCGTCGGCGGCGGCGGCGTGGCCTCTCCAGCGGAATCCGTCAATCCGACCGCCCACTTGAAGATCGGCGTCGTCTCGGGTTTGACTCCCGGATCGGTCGCGGGCGTGGAGGAGTCTCTGCCGGAACCCGTCGCCCGGTAATTGAAGATCGGCGTCGAGACGAGCTTCTCCACCGCAGATCTGGCGCGGAGCTCTCTGTAGCACCTGGAGCAGAGCCCGCCCGTCGCCGCCGTTCCGAAGAAACCGCATCCGTTCTGGCAAAGAGAAGGCGGCGGCGCCTGGATGTCCATCTCGTTACCGTTCGATCCCATCATCTCGCGCGTTTGAAGAAAGAAGGATTTTTTAGTTAAAGGCCTATAGAATTGGTTTGGTTTATTGAGAGAGACTTTTGGGGTATTATATAGAGGCCAGGGACAACTTTAGTCAGTAGTTTCTCTATTAAGAACTTTTTAGGAATAATTAGATTGGTGGATTAATCTTAATCATACTCGTGTTAGTACTCTACTACGGAGTAGATTCTTTTCTTGGTCATTACTCCATTCTCCAAAAAAAGTTGTTACTTGTTAGGGAGTTGTGGAGTACTTCCTACTCCCTCCGTCCCAAACTATTTGTCCACTTTCATTTGTACACACCATTCAATACACTTCTTTAATCCATTTTATCTTGTAATTTCTATATTAAAAAATTATAGAAATTATATATTAATAATCTATATGTTAAGACAAATCAAACAAGATCACACATGACTATATTTAGGCTTACACATTGGAAGAATTTGATGAGTCAAAGTGCTTAGATGAACAGTTCCAAAAGTCAAAAGTGGACAAAAACTGGGGGACGGAGGGAGTATTTGTTATTGTCTCCATTTCAAATTAATTTTTTTCAGTTGTTATTACGGTCTCTCGATAATATACGTTTGTAATGAAAAACCAGATATCTTCTTTTCCAGACAGGAACCATCAGACACCAAAACCAGAAGCAAGTCCTTCCCATCGCCGTTGCTCGTCCTCCAGGTCGTCGCCGGTGCTCGCCGTCCACCTCGCCGCCTATCGCCACCGTTCACCATCCCATCGCCACCGTCGCCGCCTACCTTGTGCCGGTTTATATCCACAAATCTCATGTTTTCTTCAATTTTATTTTACAATTGAAATTGTAAAAAATTTCGATTATAGATTATTATTTTTCCTTGGATACACATTTTTTGTTGTTTTGATGATATGAATACAAAATATATTACTCCGTATTATATGTAAATTATTTAACATTTTCTTCTAAATTTAAACATTCTTGAAATTAAGGTTTTTTCTCCAAAATTTTGTCAGTGCATAATACCACAGATGTCTATATATAATGTCAAATATGTAAACTTACATTGTCAAACAAAGAGGTAATTATGTCAAATCCAAACATTGCACACACTACTATGGAGACCATCACTCAGATCACAACCACTGTTATGGTGACCAGATGACCAACCATCCTGAGATCTAGTTGTCGACTTCGAGTTTTTTATAATGAAAATTGTATCCAATGATGACTTTGAACTCGGGGCCAAGGGTTCTGACCAACCACATTAGTTATGGATTCCGCCAAAAACTTAGCTTATACTCCTTCCGTCCCAAAAAGTTTATTACGTTTAGAAAAAACTACGTCCCGTAAAATCCGTTACATTTCTATTAAAAAACCACTTTTACCCCTTACTTTTTCATACCCTACCTATCACATCATACCTTTTTCCTAATAATATACCCATCACATCATACTTTTATCCATCACATCAAGTGTATTTTTGGAAAATCAATACCAAAATATCCCTCCCTTAATTTCTCAAAAAATCAAATCGTCCCATTCTTTTTGGGACAGAGGGAGTATATGATGGATCAAACTTCAGATTTGGACAGATGAGATTGTGTGGATGTAGCTTTGTGGGAAGGAATGAGAAAAGGGGAGAGGGCAGTGTGGCTCTACGATGGGTAAGGTGGTACTAGACTATGAGGGCTCTATCGATGAAGGGAATAAAGAGACAGAGGCAACATAGCAATTGTACATGCGAAGAAGGAGAAGGAAAAGGGTAATGTTGTGAGGCAGTTTACTTTGTGCGGTTAGAATTTAATTCAAACAAAAAATGTAATTAGTTAATTTTATTTAGAAGAGTTTAAGTTTAAATTATATTTTGAAGATATGACTTATGTTTTACTCTTCAAATGTTGGTGTAAAAATGATTAATAAAATTAATTTTTCAAATATTGTTATAAAAATAATTAATACATATATTTAAAATAAAAGTTTTACAAAATAAGAGGTGACAAAAGTATTTTATTTTATTAAAGTATCAATAAAAATATACAAACAAACAAAAATTATCAAGTAATACCAATTTTGAGACAGAGAGGATAATTGACCTTATTTATCTTATATCAAAATTTTTTTATGATCCTAGAATCTAGATTCATTCTAGAGATCTTAGTAAGTATATCACTTTTTTTAAAAAAATAAGGAAAAATTATCCAAAATAATCCCAATTTTACCCGATCTTTCAAAAATAATCCCACCTTTCACTGTGATGTATAATAATCCCAACTTTATTGAAATTTGCCAATTTTGGGTCGCCGTTAAGTTTCTAACGGAGGGTTAACGGAAATGCCCGTTTTAGGCAACAAAAGAAAGTTGGGATTATTTTTGATGAATTTTTGTTTTTTAATTTTTTTTGAAATTTTTATTTAAATTTTTTGAATTACTTTCAACCTTCATTTCTTTTTCTTTTTTAAAGATTATTCTTACCTTAGAAAAAAAAAGATATAAAAAATAATGAAAATGATAAAAATAACTAAAACCATACAAAATTAATCAAATAAATAATGTAATCAATAGAAATTAAACAGAAACTGGTAAGAAATAAAATAAATATATACGGAGTGGTGGGTTTTAACATTTTACAAACTATACGGAGTCTTAATGTACTACTTATTTTTTAAAAAAACAAGCCGTCATGTAAAGTTAGAATTATTGTAGATAATTTTTTATAAAAAATAAGAATTGATATGTTAATACTTTGTATAGTGTGTAAAATATTAAAACCCACCCGTATATTTTTATTTTACTTTTACCAATTTCAAGTTAGTTTCCATTGATTACCTTATTTATTTTATTATTTTTGTATCATTTTAGTTACATTTCTCATTTTTTTCATTTTTTATATCTATTATTTTATTTTTTTAAACTAAGACTAATCTTTAAAAAAGGAAAAAGAAATGATGATGGAGGTAGAAAGTAATTTTAAAAATTTAAATGAAAAATTTAAAAAAAATAAAAAAAATGAAAATTCATCAAAAATAATTCCAACTTTCATTTTGTTACCTAAAACAAGCATTTTTGTTAACCCTCGTTAGAAACTTAACGGCGACCCAAAACTGGCAAATTTCAATAAAGTTGGGATTATTATGCATTACAGTGAAAGTTGGGATTATTTTTGAAAGACCGTGTAAAGTTGAGATTATTTTGGGTAATTTTTCCAAAAAATAAAAAAAGGTTAATTACATGTCTTGTCATATCCACGTTTTTAAATATGGAAGAGGATTGATCATAATTTGATATGCAATCCATGAATATCCCAAAACTGATCTTTATCTTGATCGATCCTTGACTAAACTCTGAGAGTGAAACAATTACCAGTAACAGTAATCTCAATAGCTTGGGCACAGGTTGAATATGGAGCACCAGAATTCCAATCCAATTCGCTGCATCGTCAAACTCGGTCCGAATCCTTAACTCCCTCACTTTCCCATCCCTCTTTCTCATGATTTCCCATCAAATCTGTAGCTTTTTCTATGCACTCTCAATCATAACTCTTTAGTTCTAGTTCCAGATTCTTATAAATTGTATCCCTAAATCAATTGTCGCTCTATAGAGATGAAGTCTTTTTAAATAAAAAACATAGATTGGTGGGTTCAATTGGATTGATTTGTAGAGACTAGAGAGATTTAATTTACAGAATGATAGGTGTTTCGTGTTTTTTTGTTTTGTTTTTGTAATCTCAGGAGGAGCAGCCATCACATTTAAGAATGAATTAGAAACCATAGACGAGGAAAACCTAATGCTGGTTTCATCACAGCTGAGGCAGACATTGATGTCTGCTTCTTCTGCTTGCCCGAGAGTCGTGGGAATGGACTGGAGTAAAAGGCCTGGTTTATCTGAGGCTCCGAGTGTTGACAGCATTTTCGGTGATCAACCAGTTGTTGATTCTAAGAGTTTTGTTGTAGTTCATGGGGCAGGTTGGTTGTCTCTTTGCTGGAAATATATGTCAGTTGTAGATATGACTTCATTCGGCTTTGGTCTTGAAAAGCTCATTCTGTCAATTCTAATCTAAAAATCTGTGAAGTGTTGCATTTGTTTTAGATTCTCAAAAGAATTATGCTTCCCAGAATTTGATTTTCAGAAAAAATCAACTGCTCGATTCTCCAAAATCAGTGAATTCCGAAACAGCTGAAATATCTGTTTTTGAAAATCGGGATGGCAAAAAAGCAAAATGAGAGCCAAATGAACCATACATTATTGCATTCTTGTATTATGAACTCCCCCGGAAATTTTTAGCCTACCAAAGGGAAATAAAACTTAGATTGGAAAAAGATCACAAATTACAGTTTTCAGTTATTCTTTTACTTGTGGTGGTGTATTAAGGTTCTTTTGGGCACTTTCAAGCTAGCAAATCTGGCGTGCAGAAGGGCGGCTTGGGCAAACCTATTGTCAAGGCTGGTTTTGTTGCTACACGTATTTCGGTGAGTTTTTTCCCTTACTTAATGATAATAGCATTAGTTTTCCACTTTTTTGAACATTATTTTGTCTACTCTTTGAATAGAATTCATTGCTATATATTCAGTCCTAGGATCACTGATTTCCTAATGGAATTTTAGTTTGGGGTTTCTCAACATGGATCATATAAAAAAATTGGAGCATTTTTGTGATTGGTTTCTTATTTCTCAAGAGGCGTCTATTTTGAGTCTTACTGTATACTTAGCATCTAGATGATCCATGGGAGGGTGGAGACAACACATTGGTGCTTTTATGGGGTTTCAAGTATCCTACACTACCACGTTTGTTTATATTTGTGTCATTCTTCTCTTACGTTGGGTAGAATGTTGACTTTAACTTTTCTCTTGTAATTTTTCTGGTTTTTTTTCAGGTTACATCTCTCAATCTTGAAGTTGTTAGAGCTCTAGCAAGAGGTACCACTGCAATTTTTTCAGCGTAGTATAAACGCTCAACATAGCCTGCCTCTTTTTTTTACTTTATGCATTCCATGCCCAAACCAAATTATTCAAATTATAGCCAGTTTCTTATATTTTTATAATTTTTCCGTCACATAAGATGCAACAAAGGAACAAGCAATTTGGGGGGTAGTCCTCTATATTTCCCAATCCACCTCTTAACAAGTGGTTTTCTTTTCTTACAGAGGGTATTCCTTCTATTGGAATGTCCCCATTCTCATGCGGATGGTCAACTTGTCAAAGAAATGTCAGAAGGAAACCAGATGATCTAATTTGTTAAACAAATTATCATCTTTTATGATTGCTTTAGCTGCTTATAACCATGAATTAGTTGAAGAGTGAGGAACTTATGCATCTACAGATGGCAGAAGCTGAAGTCTCTATGGTGATTAAAGCAGTTGATGCTGGTTTCATACCTGTGAGTTTTTCAGTCCATTTAATAAGGAATTTGTTTAGGAGTTTATTTCTCCCTCCGTCCCCAAATAAAATTTCGAGTTACTATTACAGGGTGACGATAACTTTTGTTTGATGATGTGTTTTCATTGATTATTTGATAAAATAACATAGTCATGCTACTAACTGTTTCGTAAAACTTTTGATGTATTTTTTAAATATGGAAATTTTATTTTTTTTATTTTTTATACCAATTTTTGAAAAGAAAATAAATTTTAAAAACTTCATTTTTATCTTGTAATT